TCAAGGACCTGGAAAGAACATTAATCAACTTTATATGGAAAAACAAAAGGCCCAGGATAGCCAAAACATCCCTATACAATAAAGGAACTTCAGAAGGCATCACCATACCTGACTTCAAGCTCTATTATAGAGCTATAGTCCTGAAAACAGCTTGGTATTGGCACAAAAATAGGCAGGTAGACCAATGGAACCGAATCGAAAGCCCTAATTTTAACCCACACACCTATGAACACCTGACTTTTGACAAAGAAGCTAAAACTGTACAGTGGAAAAAAGAAAGCATCTTCAACAAATGGTGCTGGCATAACTGGGTACTGGTATGCAGAAGACTGCAGATAGATCCATGTTTATCGCCTTGTACAAAACTTAAGTCCAAATGGATCAAAGATCTCAACATACATCCAGCCACATTGAAACTTTTAGAAGAGAAAGTGGGAGATACTCTTCAACGAGTTGGTACAGGAGACCACTTCCTAAACATAACACCAGTGGCACAGGCACTAAGATCAACAATTAACAAATGGGACCTTCTGAAACTAAAAAGCTTCTGTAAGGCAAAGGACACAATCAAAAAGACAAAAAGGCAGGCCACAGAATGGGAAAAGATATTCACTAACCGTACATCTGACAGAGGGCTAATCTCCAAAATTTACAAAGAACTCAAGAAACAAGTCTCCAAAACACCAAAGGATCCACTTGAAAGGTGGGGTACAGAGCTAAATAGAGAATTCTCAGTAGAGGAGGCTAAAATGGCCAAGAGACACTTAAGAAAGTGCTCAACATCCTTAGCCATCAGGGAAATGCAAATCAAAACAACTCTGAGATACCATCTTACTCCTGTCAGAATGTCAAAAACACCGAAGACAATTTATGCTGGAGGGGATGTGGAGAGAGAGGAACACTCCTCCACTGCTGGTGGGAATGCCAACTCATACAGCCTCTTTGGAAATCAGTATGGAGATTCCTCAGGAAAATGGGAATTAATCTACCACTAGACCCATCAATTCCACTCTTAGGCATTTATCCAAATGAGGCAGGTTCATACAACAAGGGCATCTGCTCCACTATGTTCATAGCAGCATTGTTTGTAATAGCCAGAACCTGGAAGCAACCTAGATGCCCCTCAACTGAAGAGTGGATAGAGAAAATGTGGTACATTTACACAATGGAGTATTACTCAGCAGAAAAAAACAATGGAATCTTGAAATTCGCAGGGAAATGGATAGCACTGGAAGAAACCATCCTGAGTGAGGTAACCCAGTCGCAAAAAGACAAACATGGTATGTACTCACTCATATATGGATTTTAGATATGGATCAGGATAGTGCCAGTCTGCACTTCCATAGATAGAGAGTCTGGGAAACAGGAAAGAACCTAAAAGATATGCATATATGCATAGTACCCAAGAGAAGAGGATGGAGACAAGATCCTCTGAATGGATGGGGAACAGGGCGAGGGGGGTAGTGGGACCTGGGAAGAATAGAAGGGGTAAAGAGGAAGGGAGTTGGTCATGGGGGAACAGGAAGTTGAGGGGGTGGGGGTAGAATAGGGGGAAGAGGGAATCATAGGATCGAAGACAGATCAGGCACCAGAGTGACCTCGAGTGATCTAAAGGTATAACATCAATTGGCAAGCTAAGCAATAGTGGAAGGACCACCTCGAATGCCCATTCCTGATAATGAACTTGATGTCTATAACTATCCGGGAGCCTTCATCCTGGGACTGATGGAAGCAGAGGCAAACACACAACTAAGCACTGAACTGAACCCAAGGAACCCAGTGACAGAGAGAGAGGAATGATGAGCAAATTGGCAAAGAATGGGCTGGCAAAACCAGCAGAGACAGCTGATCTGAACAGGGGAGTGCTCTTGGACCCCAGACCGACAGGGGGGAGGCCAGAATGGGACTGATCTGGACCCCCCAAATGTGAGTGTCAGTGAGAAGGCCTGGACAACCTATGGGGCTCTGAGCTGTGGATCAGTGTCTATCCCTGGTATACAATCTGTCTTCATGTGCCTATAGCACAAAGAGAGATGCTCTCTCAGCCTGGACTCTTAGGGGAGTGCCTTGACCCTACCAAGAGTAAAATGATAGACTCTAGACATCCCCTATATGGAAGGATTTGGCAATAGGGTGGGAGGGAGGGTGGAAGGGGAGTGCGGGAGGAGGGGAGGGAGAGGGAACTGGGATTGACATGTAAAACAAGCTATTTAAAATTAAAAAAAAAGAAAAAAAAAGAAAAAAATTGGCAAAGCATACATAAAATGAATAAAAATATAATTAAAAAAATAGCAAAGTTACAATTATGAAGCAGCAATGGAAATAATTCTATGGTTGGGGTCAGCACACCATGAGGAACTTCATTAGGAAGGTGACAACATTGGATTAAGTGCTTAATAAATAGTTACCAGACAGATGGCTATGTAGGTCTATAACCATTGAAGGCTGAGGCAGGTGGATTGTGAATTCAAGGCCAGCCTGGGCTGCACAGTGAAGTAACTTCTGTCTTAGTTGGAGTTTCTATTGCTGCGAAGAGACACCATGACCACAGCAACTCTTATAAAGGAGGCTTACACTTCCAGAGGTTCAGTCCATATCATTATGGTAGAACATGGCAGCACACAGGCAGATGTGGTGCTGAAGAGGTAGCTGAGAGTTCTACATCTTGCACAGGCAATAGAAAGTGGTCTGAGACATGGGTGTGGGGCCTGAGCATATATGAGATCTCAAAGCCCACGTCTACAGTGACGCAGTTCCTCCAATAAGGCCACACCTACTCCAACAAAGTCACACCTCCTAACAGTGCCACTCCCTTTAGGGGGCACTTTCTTTCAAATCACCACACCATCTCAAATAAATAAATAAATAAATAAATAAGATAGAACATTTTCAAATTTTTTGTGATACAATTCAAATTTCTTTGATCTACTGTTAAGGATATCATGACTTTGTGGTATTTTTTTCTTGCAAGTATTCTATAATAAAGTTCTCAATATATATCATATATCATAATATATAATATATATTATATATATTATACACAAAGACATCGATGAAACCCATGCCCACAGTTTTCACCATAATTTTGTAGGTTCTACACAGTCCTAGTAAAGAAGGAAATGGGACAAATAAATGTGAATTACTCTCAATGAACTGATTCTGCCTCACCCAAAGCACTGAGCTGCTCAACCTTGAGGAGTAGAGTCAAAGACCTTGCCCTTGATGGGGCCTCTTTAATTACTGTAAAGTGTCACAGTGGAGCACTGTAAAATCATTGCAGCCACCTATTTAAGTTGTGTCTTGGGTACTCTTACACAGACATGAATTCTTAAGAGTCTCAAAAAAAATTCAAACAGTAAAACTATCACTAAAAGTTATAGGCAATAGTCTGTTCTCTGGGACCTCAGAAATGGCTAATAGTATAGGAGAGTTTGACTTTTGACATTATCTTATCCATTCTCTTTTGTTCCAGAACAGCACATGTCGCTCTCACTTCAGCCCCACAATTCAGCTCAGTGACTGAGGAGGGCTGGAGAGGTGGCTGTAGGTCCTTTCCCTGAACAAAGAAAATCAGTCAGAAATGATCATGTTCAACCCAGGCCTGAGCCAGTAAATCAATTCCATGTCTAGCCATAGTGGTTAATTCAGAGATGACCAATAGGGGCAATGAGATTTAGGACCAGAATTTTATTGAGACTGTTAGAAACGTGCTCTTTTCTGCTAGAATTTCCAGCAGAAAAGGTGATGTCTAAGTCCAAGCTGCCATGGGCCATAGCAGACACAAAGCCATCACAGATACGAAGAGAATCACAACAAAGACAAACTGACTCCTAAGGACACTAACCCAGAGACATTTAAGACCAGTTGTTCTGTGCAGTCTTCAGTTTCTGTACCAGTATTATCCCAGTTGTGCTTAAGCCAAATTGATTAAGGTTTAATAGGACTATAAATTCTCAATGGAAGGACTCCCAGTTGATCAAATTGTCTAGGCAGGTGTCACCTTAAATCCAGTAAAGATTTAAAAAACAGCCCCTCTATTTCATTTACAAGCTGGGTTATTATGTGAAACAAGAATGCCTTACGTGAACTTGTCATTGCAACTGAGGGCACACAAGCTTACTGCCTTCTAAACTGAGATAACGTAAGCCAACCAGGAAGATGCATAGACCACAAAGGCTGTGGCAAAGACAATCTGAGCTCCAGTCAGCTGGTCTCAGGCCCTGTGAAGCTTGACTGATGCTTTAGCACCAAACTCGCTGCATTCTAAACTGCTGAAGCAAGTGAAACTGCACCCGGAGGATGTGATGTTAGGAGGTAAGGAACAACGAGCCTGCCTGCTCAGACATTTCCTCCAACAACAGCAGGGATCTCTATCTCATACCACGACTGAGAGAATCTACAGTGTCATACTCCATTCCACTGCAACTTGGATTGCAAGTGTCATGGGAGCAAAAGCCACCAAGGCCACAAACATGGTGTGAATAAAGAGCAGAGGATGAAAGTGAATAAACAGGTATTGAGAACGCACATTTTTCAAGACCAACCCCTGAACTTAAATGTTTTCAATACTCAATATCTTTTTATTTAATACTTACATTTGATATATAGTACAAGTTGGGATACTTCACTAGTACAAAATTGCTGTCTTCTCAGATACAGTGTGAGTCCTTATCTTCCTATACATACAATAGATATGACATAAAATAGATGAAACTATCTGGGAGAAGTCAGAGAGGTAGTGTATGCCTATGGGCTCAGCACTGAAGAGGCAGGAGTTTGAGAGGTGGAAGCCAGACTTGACTACATAGTGAGACCCTGTCTTACACACACATACACACAGGGTGTGAGGAGTTGGCAAGGAAAATATCTGATGAAATTACCAAACATTCAAAGACATTAATTCTCCCAAACTAGCCAAGCCTGACCACACTTAGCATCCAAAATCAGATGAAATAGGATGCATCTAGGTAAGTGTTCTGAGGTGAGAAATGATGCCTTACCAGTGGACAAGGCCTCCTCCCGAACATCTCCCTCAGCGGGTTGATGAATATTCCAGGATGTTTTGGGAAGTAAAGAGATCTCTTCAGGTGATGTTAATCTCACCATGTCCATGTGATTACTCTGGAACTGGTACCGAGGGAAGAAGCAGATCTTGCCTTGTTTGAAAATGCCCTTGATAATCTCTTCTGTCTCAATTTCATCTTGCATGCTGAAAAAGATGGAAATTCTTTTGGAATTTTGATACCGACTGTGAGCAATCACCTAAGTGGGAAATGATGACAATTATAATTTTTTTTCGGATTTTTTTTGTTTTGTTTTGTTTTGTTTTTTGCCAATGTTTTTTTCCTTGTTTTATTTTTTTTTTAATTTTATTTTCCAGTTTAAATTTGGATAAGAAACAAGGTTGCTTCACAAGTCAGTTCCAGGTCCCTCTCCCATTCCCTCCCTTCCTCCCGAGCCCTCCCCCCCCCATTGTCCCCTCATTTCCCCAGGGAGGGTGAGGCCCTCCATGGGGGTGTGCATAGTCTGTCATTTCACATAGGGCAGGGCCTAGACCCTTCCCCAAGAGTTTGGGTGAGAGTGCACCTCACATTGTTCTATGGGAGTCCAAAGTCCGTGTGTATACTTGGGATGGGTACTGATATGCTGCCCAAGGCTCAATAGATTCCCTAGGCCTCCTCACTGACACCCAGATTCCGGGGGTCTTGATCAGTCCCATGCTGGATTCCCAGGCTGATGCCTGGGATTCAAGAGTTAACCTTTATCTGGTCAGCTGTTTCTGGGGGTTAAACCAGCCCAGTCTTAATCCCTTTGATCATCAGTCCTCCCTCTCTGTTACTGGCTTTCTTGAGTTCAGCTCAGTACTTAACCAAGGGAGTCTGCCTCTTCTTCGATCAGGCACTAAATAAAGTTTCTGTTTCCCAGACTCTCTGGCCATAGGATTGAAGGCTGGCACTCCCCAGATCTATGTCTAAAATCCATATATGAGAGAGTACATGCCATGTTTCTCTTTTTGTGACTGGGTTACCTCATTCAGGATGGTTTCTTCTAGTGTCGTCCATTTGCCTGCGAATCTCATAATTCCATTATTTTTTTCTGCTGAATAGTACTCCATTGTGTAGATGTACCACATTTTCTCTATCCACTCTTCGGGTGAGGGACATCTAGGTTGCTTACAAGTTCTGGCAATTACAAATAAAGCTGCTATGAACATCGTGGAACAGACATCTTTATTGTATGAATGGGCATCTTTTGGATATATGCCTAAGAGTGGAGTTGCTGGGTCTTGTGGTAGGTTTATTCCCATTTTTCTGAGGAATCTCCATACTGATTTCCAAAGTGGCTGAACCAGTTGGCACTCCCACCAGCAATGGAGGAGTGTCCCCCTTTCACCACATCCTCTCCAGCATAAATTGTCATTGGTGTTTTTGATTTTAGCCATTCTGACAGGGGTGAGATGGTATCTGAGAGTTGTTTTGATTTGCATTTCCTGGATGGCTAAGGATGTTGAGCACTTTCTCAAGGGCCTCTCAGCCATTTTAGACTCCTCTATTGAAAACTCTCTATTTAGTTCTGCAGCCCACTTTTTAATAGGGTCCTTTGGTGTTTTGGAGACTTGCTTCTTGAGTTCTTTGTAAATTTTGGAGATCAACCCTCTGTCAGATGTGGGATTAGTGAATATTTTTTCCCATTCTGTGGGCTGCCTTTTTGTCTTGCTGACTGTGTCCTTTGCTTTACAGAAGCTTCTCAGTTTCAGTAGGTCCCATTTATTAATTGTTGATCTCACTGTCTGTGCTACTGGTGTTATGTTCAGGAAGCTGTCTCCTGTACCAATTCGTTCAAGGGTACCACCCATTTTCTCTTCTAAGAGGTTCAGTGTGGCTGGATTTATGTTGAGGTCTTTGATCCATTTAGACTTAAGTTTTGTGCATGGCGATAAACATGGATCGATCTGCATTCTTCTACATGCCAGTCTCCAATTATGCCAACACCATTTGTTGAAGATGTATATTTTTAGCTTCTTTGTCAAAGATCAGATGTTCATACGTGTGTGGGTTAATACCCGGGTTTTCAATTCGATTCCATTGGTCTACCTGTCTATTTTTGTGCCAATACCAAGCTGTTTTCAAGACTATATCTCTATAATAGTGCTTGAGGTCAGGGATTGTGATGCCTCCGGACGTTGCCTTGTTGAACAGGGTTGTTTTGGCTATCCTGGGTCTTTTGTTTTTCCATACAAAATTGATTATTGTTCTTTCAAGGTATGTTGTATCTTCATTCTCATTGAATTCGAGGAAGTCTTTAATTTCTTTTTTATTTCCTCTTTGACCCAGGGATGGTGCAGTTGAGCATTATTCAATTTCCATGAGTTTGTAGGTTTTCTGCAATTTGTGTTGTTGTTAAATTCTAATTGTGTGCAGCAAGCATTAATCTTCAGGAAGAGCTGTAAAACTTGGCGTCCACGTGGTCCTAGGTTTTTCTCACTTATGGCAGACACACAGAAAAAGATTTAATTGCATATGTTACTGTTGATAAATTGCTGCTGTTGAATTCTAGAGGCAGGCTTTTGCTGAGTATCCATGGCTGTTCTATTGAAAGACCCTGGCCCAGTCTAACAGGCAGCTGAGGGTTATGGAAAATTCCGCTCCTCCACAGCTGCATAGTCATTGCCTATCAGAAGGAAGTCCGGCCTAAGGACACAGGCTGCCTGGTGAGCAAACACAGAGATATCTGTGGGCGGCCAGACGGCCAGCTCAGCAAGGTTGAGCAAACACAGAGATATCTGTGGGCGGCCAGACGGCCAGCTCAGCAAGGTTGAGCAAACACAGAGATATCTGTGGGCGGCCAGATGGCCAGCTCAGCAAGGTTAAGCAAACACAGAAACCGATTGTTCCTCGGACAGGGCCAAGACTAGAGTTCCAAGAAAAACCTCAATTGCCTGCGCTCTGAACCCTAGCCTCATTTGAATTGTCCAATCAGGGTCCTGTTACTAAGCTTCTCGCTTCTGTCCCGCGCTTTTTGCTATAAAAGAACCCCTGAGTCCCCAGCTCGTGCGCTCAGTTCCCCGAGACTGAGACGCCCGGGTACCCGCATGTTACCAATAAAAGCCTCTTGCTGTTGCATCCAAGTTCGTGGTCTCGTTGTTCCTTGGGTACGGGTCTCGTCTCCCTTCTGTGAAAGCTCCAAGACGGGGGTCTTTCACTATGTGGTTTCATGTCTGTAATAAATAGGTCGTCTGACAGCATAACTGAGGGGTGAAGTGCCTGTCTAGCATGCACAAGGCTCGTGGTTTGATCACCAGTGCTGCAAACATAATGATAGTTTTGTCCAGTTTCGCATGGGAGAAAGCATTTTCTTTACTTAATCGCAGTCTTTGACAAAAAATACTTTAGTTCAATGTGTACATTTCATCAAGAATATATTTGCACCTGTGAATGTTTGCAAAATTAGGTTACAGCTCTTTAGGGTTGTGAATCTTCAGTGGTCTCTGTGTGTCCTCTGGCAGGTAAGGCTCCAGGACAGAATCACTGGTATCCCCAATATTTCCAACTCTCTGAAGCCATTATTTCCATCAGAAATCAAAATCATAGGAAGACTCAATAACATAAAGGTGTCTGTCGGATACTAGGAGAAGATGTACTTGACACTAGGGTAGCTGAAATAAAAGAAGAGATCAAGTGTTCATGTAGAAAACAGATATGCCCCCATGGAAGGCCTCACCCTCCATGGGGAGCCAACAGGGCATGGGATAGGGGGCTGTTGGTGGGCAGGGAAGGAGGAAAGGGAGAGGAAACTAGGATTGACATGTAAAACATGTTTATTTCTAATTTAAATTTTTAAAAAGGAAAAAGAAAAGAAAAGAGATTGTTAAAGGTCTTACAGGCTAATGTCTGAACCTTGAAGGTTATAGGCCATTCTGAGATACATAGGTATGTAGGAAGACCCTGACTCAAAATAAAACAAAATCAAAGTAGCCTCACATAGCATATCTTGAAAGTGGTGGCACATGCCTCCACTGCATTGGGAAGGCTGAAACAGAAGGATTGTGGTGTCAGGGTCACCCTAAGCTGCACAGGGAGACTGGGTCTTAAAACAAACACAGTTTCATTGTTTGAATGTGAATTCCCCATCCACAGTCTCAGGAGTCTGAACACTTAGTCCCCATATGGTGGCACTGTTTTGGGGTGCTTTGGAACATTTCTAACAAGCACATCACTGTGGGCAGCAGAGCTCAAAGATGGTTCCTTGTTCTGACTCACCTCAGTAGGATTTAAGTAACTCCCTACCTGGTCTTCTTGCTTATTCCTTTTTGCTTCTCCAGTTTAAAGGTGGTGATAAAATAAAAGACCATGCTGTTTAGGATGAAGCACCATCACTAGAGTGCTGGCCTTGCATGCACAAAACCTGGGGGTTGGACCTCCAGCACCACACCACACAAATTGACTGTGGTGATAACCTCATCTGTAATCCTAGCCCTCTGGATGTGGAAACTTATTGTGAGACTTTCTCTTGTGAATTAAGAAATCCGAGGCAACGAAAGGGATGTGGAAACTTTTGAAACCTCAAAGCCCATCCCAACTGACATATTTACTCCAACTAGCTGGGTTCAGTAGTTAATCCTTAACTTGAGCTATACAATCCATGCAGCTCCTTAGGTGAAACTCAGTCTTTGACTGTGAAACATAGCCTTGCATTTATTTTTATTCACCAAAACTATGTATAAACTATCATTATTATTACCAAAATAGACAGTACAAATTAGAGAGGTGTCATCTTCTTGACAGTCCACAGGTAAAAATGCCTAATAGAGCTTAATTCTATTTATATTTTCACAAAAGTGCTTTTAAGAGAAAGCTTTCTTGGTCTTTGCCTATAGATATCATTGCCTTCATTTTTATTTTGTTTATGCTATAGTATCATTACATTATAGACATTATATTATATAATGTAATCATTATTACATTATGTTATATTTTGTTGTTATATGTATTACTTAGGAAACCTGAATTCTGGAGTCCTTCCTAGGTAACTTAACCTAAGTCATGTCTCTAATAAGCAGGAAAATTCCAAGTCCTCAGGTTTCAAAGTCACTTCCTGAGATCTTCTGTGCAATGGCCCTATGCTAAGCATGAAAGATACAGTGATGCATGTAGAAGATACAGTCCCCCTCTGTGGGGCTAATGACCAAGTGTTCTTCTTTATTCCACAAGCCTGACCCAGAA